TAGCTGTGTTGTCCCTCATCCCTTTTGCTACCTCCACTGCCAAACATATTGCTTCTAATGTTGCTTAAAACTGAAGAGAGGAGGAAATGTTTTGCGATTCTATGAGTAATTTCATGATATTAAAAATGGTCTTACAGCTAAAGGATCTCTTTATATGCACAGGATAATAGGTCAGTTCCACTGGCTTCGAAAGCTTTCAACTTGTATTTTGAGCATTTTGGTTGTCCCAATAAAGGTAACACTGTTTTGTGAATGTTGGATGTTACTGTACTTTGCTACATGGCCAACATGGCTACCCCTGTTGATATACAGTAGCCCCTCCCAATTCATGGGGGTCCATTTCCCCCCATGGAAATGGTGGCTTGCAAATATCCGAGCCCCATTCAAAATAATGGTACGTGCATGTGCACACTACCATTTTATCCCTACCTACTTGTCTGTCCTGTGAAGAGCGAGACCACAGACTCAAAGTCTACAAACGGGGAGGGACAACCGTATTTGAATAGCTGTACTGAGTTCAGTGGGTCAGCTCCCATGTCTAAAGTTATATGGGCACTAAAATGTTTGAGACCACAAGTGATGTTGCATTCCACACTATGATTAAAGTAAAGAGACGGTGAACCAAGTTCATTCCTGGTGAAATAGAATCAATCAAGTTCATTCTGAATACTTAAAGGGGCTCTAATCATAGGTGAACTCAGCTCTGTACAATAATGAGAGCTAGAAAATTAGGTTTTTCACCTGTATGGCAAGCTTGTTCATTAAAGGAGACAATACACAGAATGTTTTCTCCTTTGATTCCCTGCAATTCAATGCAGAGCACTACTCTTCTTTATGAAGCTATGCATTTTAATTGCACAGCTAATAAAATATTTATGCCAAGTGACCACATGGGTGCCAAATGTTCGACTGGTTTCTCACAAAAAAACCCAACTACTTCTGTACTCTCTACTTCTGCTTCCATCAAAAGCAATTAAAGAGAGGTGTCAGCTGGGACCTGGCAGTCTGTAAAGAGGACAAGTAGTCAATTCTTCTTTTGATACATCTCAATTAGCTGCATTGGGATTTTGCATCCAAAGTCTCACATACTTCAGAGCAAAAGAGCTTTTTAGTCCACATTAGACAGCAAGAAGACTGTGGAGCAAAGACAGTAATAACAGAGCATGTCAGAGAATGGTTCAGATCTCCACTGATGATTAGACATATGTCTATAATACAGCTAGGCTGCCTTGCAAGGATCAATGTCAGTATTTGAAGCAAGGCAAGAAACCAAAAAATGGCCCAAAAAGTGTGTGTGTGTGCAGGGGGAGACAAAGGGGTGGCACAGAGGGGCTGTGGCAACCGCATACCGAGGCCTGATCCTCGCTTTTGCCACCCCCAAAAGAGCGGCAAAATGCTGCTCCTTTTAGAGGCAACAAAAGGCCACCCTAAGAGCCGGTGCTGCAGCTCTTCTGCACCCTTTTGGCACAGCGTGTGTACATGCTATGCCAGGAGGGCATCCTGATGTCGTGTAGCATCCGGACGGGCGCGCAGCATCAGGATGGTATCGGGGTTGAATTGGGGCAGCCAGCGTGCCCAACTCCACCCCCAGACCAGCCCTTTAGGCCAGTGTCTGCATAGCCTCAAAGGCTAGTAAGGAAAAACAGAGTCGTCTTTTTTTTTTTTTTTTAACATATAGGGCCTCTGCAGACCAGCAAGAAATATTGGCTTTGGGGTGGCGTGATGACCATATGCTGCATGCACATTTGGGGATTTTAATGTATTTCCTTTCTTTTTAAAAGATGTTTTTAATTATTTTATTGAAAATAAAAGCTCAGTGCCCTATGAATGGAAATCAGGCACAAAAGGGTCTCAGCCCCAAAGGATAAGGATATGAGCAAATGAATAAAGAGGAGTATAATGGAACTCTGCAATGTAATATAAACTACAGCATTTGCTATTACCAAGGCAAATGAATATATATTCACTTGCATAGCACTTTGGTACCCCTTAGGATGAACGATGCCATATAAAATACAATATATTGTTCTGAAGGGTTAGCGAGCTGTCTTTTTGAACTGCTACTGCTCAGCTGTGGCACATGGCCAATCATGATATTAAACCATTCAGGTTTGTTATTCCCTTTATACTGTGTATGAATCACAGCACATTGCAGTTTTCCATATACAGAAAGGTAAGGAAAAAACACTCAGTGTGAAACTCTGCTTGACCCCAACCATTGGCTCAGCAACATCTGACATAACAAGAGCCTGTAGGTCCTGTAAATTCAGACCTGTGACCTCCCTGATTGAATCTATCCATCTGGTGTGTGGTCTACCTCTCTTTCTCCTACCTTCTACCCTTTACATCATTATTGTCTAATTCCAGTGAGTCCCACCTTCTCATTATGTGGCTAAGGTATGACAGCCACAACTGACCTCCAGAAAGATTTCAGGCTTGATCTGTTCAAGGACCCATTTGTTTGCCTTTTTGGCTGTCCATGGTACACCCTCAGCACTTTTCTCAAATACCATATCTCAAATGAATTTATTTTTAGGGATCTCACAACTGTACATGGTGATGGGGAATACAATGGCTTGGATAAGTCTAACTTTAGTGCTCAGTTGTGTATCTTTACACTTAAGGATCTTGTCTACTTTTTTCATATCTGCCCTTCCCATTCCTAGTGTTCTTGACTGATCAGTTATTGATCCAGGGTATAGGAACTCTTTAACTATTTCAATTTTCTCATTATCTAGATTGAATTTATTTATTTTTTGTTGTTGTTAACTGCCCTTGAGTAGATCTCAACCCATGGCAACCCTATAGATGAGACATCTCCAAGACCCTCTGTCCTCCAATGCTCTGCTTAAATCCTGCAAATCCATACCCATGACCTCCTTAATAAAGTCCATCCATCTGGCATGTGGCCTTCTTCTCTTCCTAATTTTCCTCCACTTTCCCCAGCATTACAGTGTTTTCTATTGAATCTTCTCTTCTCATGATGTGTCTGAAGTACAATAGCCTCAGTTTGGTCAACTTGGCTTTCAGGGCTTGATCTGCTCTAGGATCCATTTGTTTGTCTTTTTGGCTGTCCATGGGATCCTCAACACTCTTCTCCAGCACCACATCACAAAGGAGTTCATTTTCTTCCTATCATCTTTCTTAACTGTCCAGTTCTCACATCCACACATGGTAATAGAGAATACAATGGCTTGTATGATTCTAACTTTTGTTCTGAGTAGTTATCTTTGCATTTCAGAATCTTTTCTAATTCTTTCATAGCCACCCTCCCCATTCTTAATTTTATTCTGATTTCCTGACTGCAGTCCCCATTTCTATCAATGTTTGATCCCAGGTATGGAAATTCTTTTACTATTTCTATTTCTTCACTGTCTACATTGAACTTGTCAAGGTTCTTGGTGGTCATTATTATTATTTTTTTACGTTCAACATTAAGCCTATCTTTGCACTTTCTTATTTGATGTTCCTTAGTGTTCCAGGTCTGTGAGGTTTTCTGCTATTATTATGGTGTCATCTGCAAATCTTAGATTGTTGATATTCCTTCCTTCTGTTTTCAGTCCTCCTCCTTCTGTGTCCAAGCCTGCTTTTCTTATCATATGTTCTGC